TAGCAAGAATTTCATTAAACATGGTATCACGTGTAGAAAGGTCGGAATTATGCTTGGCGTCGATGTCTTGCTTAGTGGTACGTGAAAAATAAAACGTGGCACCGATGACCAAGTAAATAGAGAATTTCCCAACGAACATCAATAGACCGGCAAAATCCAAAAATGGAGCGATTCCAGAAACAGCAAGCGATGACATCTATAAGGGGAAATTGGTCTGTTAGCATATATACACGAGTGTGGGGAGGTGTCATAGCATATAAACAAATAAAAAACAAACCTTAATCGTTAAATATTAGATATTATTTTGAGTGTATGAATCTTTTTATTTATCGTGGATTATATGTTAAATGTTTTATCCCCTTAATTCGTTAATTATTATCACGAAGAGGGTAAAGGACATCACAAATATTTTTTCTCCACCCTTTTATATAAAAAATCACAGATCAGAATTTATTTATAGACTTAGACGGTAAAGGACCAGAAATTACCATAACTTTTTTTGCGAATTTTAGGGTATACGCAAGATATATGCCCATGAAATTTTCAGCACCAAAAGTACTGGCTTACGCCAAAGGAATTCTGCGTAACAAAAAATATACCTAACAATAGATGTGCGATGAAGATGCGATGAAGATGCGATGAAGATGCGATGTAGATGCGATGTAGATATGACAGATTTTTTTCTTATATAATTCTATGAAAAATAACACATCATAAGTGTATCTCAGTTGAGTAGCCCACGCACGGCGAAATTTTTTGTGATGTGGACCGACCAGAGAATGCCGAGTATCATATCATTCCCGGTAGTAGTAGGATGGATTTTTGGAATAGTATCGCAAATACAATCAACGAACGATTTGGAACCACCTATACAGGATATCAATGTAAGAATAGATTTCAACATCTTGTAAGAGGTCATACCGTAAGTATTTATTTCTTGTAGAACCCATATACCATTTTGTGATAGCATACCTAATATGAAATTTTACTAGTTGATGTGTCAATACATAGCTGGGAGCAGAACTGGTGAGCGATATTTTGAAGAATTTCGTTCTCGTTTTTGGGAGAGACCTGGTGAGTTCACCGATTATAATACAGTCTATTATTGTAATAGTAAATATACATGTACATAACTCAGAATTTCCTTACACATGAAAACATAGAAACACCATTTGACTTAGTGCATAATGCAAACACATCTACTAGAAGACGGCACCGTAACCGTACACCAACTTATGACGAAGTATCATCATTGCTGAGTCGCCGTGAATCCTCCATTGGTCAAAGGGATCGATCCGCATCTCCCACTCGCAGAGTTCTTAGTAGAAGGAATGAAGTTGTCAACCGAAATAATGCAAATGAAGGACAAAGTATTAATTCTTCTGAAATAATTCAGAGACATAACGATTCCAATAATTTATCATCTAATTTGACAAATATACCTTTATCACAAAACGAAAGTGATACCAGTGTGCATTTCAAAATTCGAAATAACATCACGTGTGCGTGAGAATTGCCGTCATATAGTGATGTAAGGGCAGATAGATTTTGATCATATTTAAGAGAGTAGAGTTGCACCAACAATTGCTTTCCCACAAAAATGGCTGTTGCAATTCCCGCTGGTCTTAACCTCAATGATGAAGAACAAGAAGCCTTTTACGAAATGAACAGACGAGAAAGACTAAGATTTAACGCCCTACCAGATAATCAAAGCAAGCTTAGCTATATCCTAGCACTTGTGGATAGGAAAAAGTCTGATCGTGAAAAATCGGTATGTTTAGCTAAGAGACATACGTATTTTGTTATAAATTCTTCACTAAAATTTTTACAGCCCCTTCGTCGTTTTTTTTCGCGTCTTCTTCGTTAGGACCTTGAACTAAAAGAAATTTATGGTGCACTCTATATATCTGTATTAATTTCGTTAACCGTTCTTAGTGCAACTGTTTATAAAAATAATGAGGACAAATTGAAAGTATTTTTAGTGGCGATGAATGCCTTGATATTTATTGTCGAAATTGTTATGGTAGCAATCAAGTTAGAAAGGGGTAATCTTGAGTATTTTCATATTTTTTTAGTCTCTATTTGTATTGTTGTAGGGATGTTATTAGCTATATTGCTACCGGTCTTTTTAAAAATGTTATCAGCAACAATAACGGCATAATAGTTGGCCATATTCTTATTAATTGGTTTGAAACACGAACACGAATTTAACTGTAAATTATTAAGTGATTCCGGGATTTTATTTTCAGGCTCGTCACACGCCAATGCCCTACCTTTTAACCCAAGCTTTCTTGATTCCCTTAAGTGCCTTTTTCGTGAGATCTACATGTATTTGGTAATCTGTTTTTACTTGTGCAATATAGTCCGTCCGACGTAAACATAATGAAACAATATCATATAGAATGCTTGATCCGCTGTTCGTTTTTCGTTTGCATGGAAGGAGCTTTCGAGTTGTTCTATATTCCGGAAATAAAGCCGTTATCAGTATAACTAGTGAAATTAATAATTGTATTTATTTTAGCAAAGCAGAGAAACCTGAAGATATCCTATTTTCAGTGATGCATAGGAGGTCTTCCATCCCGTTTATTGCGTAATCCACCTGTCCAGACGCTTCTTCACCGGAAATATACCTCTGATACTCAATACCTATTTCTTTATTGGTTTCCCTTCTTGCAACGATAATATGAATTCGATAAAAGTACACCGTGTTTCCTCGTTGGCATCTGTCATTGATTTTATTTGCGCAAGCCGTAATGTAATTTCTGCCATACATTGTTTAAAAGCTTCAGTACGTAGATACATATTTAGGTAGGAAGAGAATTCTTGTAGATATCTCATGAAATGTGGATGCTCCATTCTCTAACAAAATTTTGGCAATAGCGCGTATATACCGAAGAATGGCAAGCGAAGAAGCACCTAAAGATTCGTCCGTCCCCGATGCTGAAGTTTTCCAACTTGAAGCACTTTCCTTAAATTACCTACGAAGCCAAAATATTTCAGCAATTACGGGTGATAACCATATACCAAAACTTCACCCGTGCAAGCTTTACAATAAAGGCATACTTAATTTCTAATTCGAAGCTTTCACAGTATTGTGTTGTGGACACCTACTCCATCGAATCTGTCTTGAAACCTATATTATGCAAGGAGGAGTACGAAGACCTTCATGCCCAATCTGTAATTGGGATATCGAAATTAATAGAGAGGAACTTGGGCTTGCTTCTGGTGAATGTTTTCTGGCACCTAAAAGTTACGATAAGGGGCAGGCTTCCCAACAGTCTAACGTAACCATAGAGGATGATGAAGGCAATTTAGAGTTAATGCAAAAAATGGGGTTGATAGAAGAGGACTCCGTTCCAGTTGAGTAAGTCAGTAAGGAGGATCAAACAATAATCCCTATTGTGGATAATTCTGTTTCTATGCAAGAGCAAGTTATAAGTCCTATTAGCAATGAAAAAGGTACAACGAACTTGGTGCAGGTTAATTTAACCGATCAAGATAATGCAAACGAGATCACAGATTCTACTACATCACTTCTCAAACGTCCCAACCCACTGGCTTCCGATAATTTGCAGTCTACTAAAAAAGTTAAAAAGAGTGACGAAAAGAA